CAGGTATAGCCGGGTAATATCTGTTAAAAATCAATTACAAATGAGAAACTATATTTAAACTAACCGGTATATGAAGGCCTGATTCCACGAGCGCTTTTTGTCGGCGAAATGCGAAATATTTCGTCGCCTGTTTCTTTTGAATTGCGACCACTCGAATAAATTATTTCTACTTGAGTGCTCACAATTCAAAGAAACAGGCGAAATATTTCGCATTTCGCCGACAAAAAGCGCTCGTGGAATCAGGCCTTGATTCAGTTCGACTATTAAATACAGGGTGTCCCAAAAAAACCATGAGACTGTAGAAATAATGTATTGCTAAGCCCGGCGCACTCTAGAGTCTAGTGCAAGCTGCACACGCACTTGTCATTCGTCACCAATGGACCATTTGCATATAGACTAAGTTTTGATCTAAACAAGCTTGAAAGAGCATCACAAAATTAGTAATATTCCGAAGTTTCGTTGCGAAATGTTGTAAAATGCGGATAATATAGCCCTGCGAAGTTTGCCGTTTTTCAGTCATTTTGCATTACGCGGGGGCAGAAACGTAATGAGAGCAAACTTTTTGAATTTTAGTAGCAGCTTTTTTTATTTCGGGCAACTTTTGAGCGACTTTTATGCGTTTTAGAGAGCAACTTTTTTGTTTTAGAGAGAAACGTTTTTCGATTTTATGAGCAAAATCGGTGCTTGCCTGGCATGCGTTCCATAATTTTGCTAATGACAGGCAGAACTGAAATTGGTCTGTAATTTCCTGGTAGGTTTCGTTGGCCATTTTTATAGAGAGGTATTACTCTAGCCGTTTTCCATTCGTGAGGGAAAATGGATAGGATAATAGCTTCATTGAAAATATATGTGAGTGAATCTGAAATAGCAGGTGCAGCTATTTTAATAATTTTACTGGAGATCTTATCAACGCCAGTGGCTTTGTTTCTAGAAAGACCATGTAAAAGATGGTAGACATTGCTAACAGTGACTGGCTGGAATGCACTGAATTCTGATTTAGTCTTTTCAATATATGTTTGAAAGTTCAAATTTGGAGTATCAATTTTGCTAGCTAGATCAGGGCCAATATTTGAAAAATAATTATTAAAGCCCTCTGCAATATCTTTGGTATTTGTCAAACTATTTTCACCTAATTTTAACTCATTTACTACTGTTGGTTTGCTTTGCCTACCTAGTATATCGTTTATAGTTTTCCAAGCCTCTTTAGGGTTGCATTTTTTATCAGAAATTTTAGTGGAGTAATATTTTTTTTTAGCATTTCTTAGCTGAATATTAACTTTGTTTCTCATTGTTTTGTAATTTAACCAGTCTATCTCTAGGTTTGTAATAATGGCCTTTCTTTTTAATCTGTCTCTTGTGATTATAAGTTGCTTTATAGCACTTGTAATCCAAGGAACTTTTTTTGTTCTAATATTTTTATGTTGAAGTGGTGCATGTTTATCCAAGACCTCTAAAAATAATTTCTTCCAAATTTCCCACATAGCGTTGGGATCTTCAGCGAAGAAGTATACATTTTCCCAGGGTTGTTGCCTCAGATCCTCAACAAATTTTTGATCATCAAATTTTTTCATATTTCTTATCTCAACTTTCTTCTCTTGTTTTTTAACAACAGAAATTTTCCTTATTGCAAATACCAAACTATGGTCACTTAATCCAGTATGGATAACACCAGAGTCAGAAATTTTCTCTGGTGTATTGGTGACTATATGATCAATAAGACTAGAGGTTGTCATAGTTACTCTGGTAGCTTCATCAATCAATTGTAACAATTGATACAACTCATACAATGTTTTGATTTTCTTTGTTGGAGAATTCGAATCTTTGTCTGTTTTAAGCATATCACAGTTTAGATCACCCAGAATATACATTTCTTTATTTTCATCATCAATGGCTTTAATTAATTTTTCAAAATGATCAAAGAATTCAGATGATGCATTGGGTGGTCTATAAATGGTTGTAACAAGAAATGGTCGACTGTGTGGCTTAATAATTTCTACACAGACAGCCTCCAATTCAGAGGGAATTAGATCTTGTCTTATAATATAGTTGATGGAGCTACGCAAGTAGATACAAACTCCACCTCCATTTCTTGATCTGTCTTTTCTAATAATATCATAATCATTAAGGTGAATCATACCATTAGTTATACTTGAGTCAAGGCGAGTCTCATTGAAAGCAATAAGATCAATGAATTTGTTTGACATTGAATACCTTATTTCATCAATATTTTTTGGCAAACTAACAATGTTAAGAAAAGCCATTTTAAAACCTCTTTCATTGGGAATGGAATTAAGGCTAGTGAAAAAATCGCTACTCACATTGTTTACGGAAATAGGACTATCTAATTCTTCATTATTTGATTCACATATTTCAAGTACATTGTCCATTCTCTGTTCCGATGTCCATGAGCTTGGTGAAAAAACTGCCTGTTATTACCTACTCTAAACGATTTCAGATATGTACAGAAAACGCTCCCTAGCACCCTATCACCTTGTTGGTTTAAGTGCAAATTAGAGCGATTTAGTAACGACCTGTCAATGTGGTCATTATCTAAAAATGTGGTATTACGTTTCATGCATAAGTTTTTAACAAGGATATTAAAACGAGTTATCTTGCTAGCCGGAACTCGGTTATCATACCTTTTAATTACACTTGAGATGGCAATTTTCTTGGCGTGATCTTTGAGGTCTTTGATAAGCCCATCCATCTTAGATGCCACTTCTTCTGGCTCTTCAGAAGCGAGGTTATTGGTGCCCACGTGAAGGAGAACTGTGTCATACTGCTCCCCTTCTGACCAATATTCTTTAATTTTAGAACTGATTTGTTCCACTCTTGCGCCTGATTCCTCTTATTTCATATATCTGATTCCTCTTATTTCATAAGAGGAATCAGATAGCAGGTAAACATGTTCTCTTCGTTACCCCACATGTCAAGAATGCCATTTGGACCAACATGGAAGGATGAGAATCCCTTTAGCCATCCAAGTTTGGCTTCTGTATATTTGCTATTTTCAACCAGCCTGAGACACTTGGACAATGTCTGCGCCACAAGCTTGTTGTTGTTTTCTAGGTAAGAACGTATCTTGACAGATTCGTTGGTCAAAGAATGGAGGATCATAAGACTGTTATCAATCGGACAGGTATTCGTTAAGGAAACACTGGTCCGGGAAGGGTTGTCTGACCTCCCCATGGGATAACCATCAGTTTTGGTTGTGATGGAGGAGGTGGTTACAGGGGTTGGCACGGCGTTTGTGGTTGGTTCACCTTTATTAAACGCCCAAAGCGGGTATACTTTACATTCTCCCCGCCTTGACACTCAGCATCTAAATCCTGCTCATTTTCTGTTTTTTGTTCTTCGACAACTTGCTTTTGAATTTTCTCACATATCTCTGGCGCAATCTCTAAACTTTGACTTTGCTCTAATTTCTCCTTATTTCTCAGGTCTTCTTCTACACTGTGCGCTTCTTCCAATAAATATAACTTTTGCACCGACCGTCGTTCTTGCCCCAACTTGGTCCGTAATGTGACTGTGCGAATGAGGCCGTCTTTTCCCTTGTGTATCTCTTTAACGATAGCTAATGGCCAATTTCCGCGTTTGACGTTGTCCTCCGACATCAACATGATATCTCCAACCTTTAACGGTGGTTTCTCTTCCAACCATTTTTGGCGAATCGTCAGTTGTGGTAAATATTCTGTCAGCCACCTCCGCCAGAAGCGGTTGACTAAATTTTGTCGATACAGGAATCTTGACGATACTGGTGCTATGGTACTTGATCCAACTGTTGCATCTGGGATCGCTTTCAAACTTCGTCCTAATGCTAGGTGTGCTGGTGTGATAGCTTGACCGTCATTGATATCATCACCGATAAACGTGAGAGGTCTCGAGTTGATAACTGCTTCAATGTCCGTTAAAACAGTATACATTTCAGTGTAGGTCAACAGGGCTTTCCCCAAGATTTTTCTAAGAGGATCTTTCAATGAGCGACAAATTCGTTCCCACCAACCACCACGATGAGGACTTCTTTCTGTTATAAACTTCCACTTGATTCCTTTCGAGAACATCTCTCTTTGTAGATGAGAAGGGTCCAGTTTCTTCCATACTTTGTTCATTTTCTGACTGGAAGCTTCGAACAACCGCATGATATCTTTGTCAGCTTTCTTAAACGTAGTTTGGTTATCTGACCACAACGTATTGCATAGTCCTCGGCGACTATACATCCGACGTAAAGCTTGAAGAAATTCTTCGGTCGTCATATCGTTTGTTAACTCCAGGTGCACCATCCGAGTTGTAGCGCAGGAAAATATACAAACGTACACCTTTTGAAAACTTTTATCTGACTTCTTTTGTGCCTTCAAAATCAAGTGTCCGGTGAAATCAATCTCCACATGCGTGAATGTGGGAGAATGGGTAACTTGCTCAGCGGGTAAGGGTGCCATCTGTTGTTGGACTGGCCCAATTTGGAACTTTCGGCAGATACGACAGCTATTGATGGCTCGTTTAACTGCACGACGACCACGAAGTATCCAGAAAGTTTCTCTTAGAATAGCCAAAGTTGTTTCTGGACCTGCGTGTGAAGCTTGGACTTCGTGAGAATGTATAATTATCTTGTCTACGACTGGGTGTTTCGCAGGTAAGATGATTTGATGCTTCGTCTTTTCTGACAATTCAGAAAACTGTAGACGACCACCAACTGGTATTAACTTATCGTTTTCGTCAAAATAAGGATTCAGCTTGCGAAGGGGACTCTTTGAAGGTAGTCCATCTTTCTTCTGTAATCGGCACCACTCTTCAACAAAACTTGTCTTCTGTATCTCCTGGTACCAATAGATTTGAGCTTATTTCATTTCCTCAGCGGTGATTTCTGGGCTTAGATTAATGTTTCTCGGCAACTTGCCTCGCTTAAATAATCGGTTGAACAGAACTATGGCTCTAAATACCAATGCTGTTTTCTGGACTAGCTTAGTCCAACGTCCGGATCTTTCTGCATCGATGCATGACGACGGAAAGGTGGATACCGCTACGTTACAAACAACTTTCTGATTTCTCTCCGGGCATTCCAGCAATTCTTTGTCAACTAAATTCTTTGGCCATTCCTCGGGAGGTTTACAGAGCCACTGTGGTCCGTTCCACCAAAGGGGATTATCTGCCAGATTTTTCAATGTCTCTCCACGCGTTACAAGATCTGCAGGATTCGTGCCTCCAGGACAAAATCGCCAACATTCTGGGTCAGTATTCTGTTGGATGGCTTGAACCCGGTTTGCCACGAATACCTTCCAGATATAGCTGGGTCTGCGAATCCAGCTCAATGTTATCGTACTGTCTGACCAACAGGTATACTGGTTGACCGTTCCACCTAAGACTTTGAGAAGAAACGCGGTCATCTTTGACAATAAATAGGCTGCCATCAATTCCAATCTTGGCAACGTAACTTTTTTTGTAGGCGCGACTCTCGTCTTCGCGATTAGGAGTTGTATTTGTACGTTTTCTGTGGAATCTTGAAGACGAAGATAGGCAACGGCTCGTAAGCTTTCGGGCTTGCATCACTGTAGCCATGAAGCTGGATACTGATTATTTCGAGGCCGAGCCCTGTTAGGAAGGAACGACTGATGCGAATCAGATTCAAATGTTCAAGTTCTTCTTTCCACTTTTGCCATTCATTTCTGATTTCTTATTTATCTCCTTGGTGGAATAAGAACACGTCATCAATGGTGTCCCAGCTGCAGGATAGTCCAAGAGCTTTCAAAGGGTCAGAGTCGTCATCAAGGCAGACCGACCGACTAGTTGCTCTTTGGTCAGCGGGAATATAAGCCAACAACGCTTTAGAATTCGCTGCCCATTTTAACAGGTCAAAACCTCCAATCTTCATCATCTCGAGCAAATCGCTATAAAGTTCACAGGCCATTGTTTCGGTTTCGCATCCGGTTAAACAATCATCCACGTACGTATCTTCTTTAATAACTTGAGCTGCTTCAGGATATGTCTCTTTACATTGATCGGCATTATGATGTATTGTTGCTATCGCTTCGTACGGGCTGCTCACGTCGCCAAACGGGAGTCTCGTCATACAATAAGTTTTATTTCTTGATTGGGATCCATATCCCTCGAGAGGAAACGATGCACGTTCTGATCTTCGGGAGCTAATCTGATTTGTAAAAACATCTTACGAACGTCCGCCATCATTCCGATACGATGACATCTGAAGCGGATCAACAACAATACCAAGTCAGGTTGCAGCGCTGGACCAGGTAATAGGCAATCGTTCAAGGATACTCCTTCTAGACCCTTCGCAGCCGCATCAAACACAGCTCTGCATTTCGTTGTAGATTTTTCCTCTCTGAATACGGGATGATGTGGGAGATAATGAATTCTACAAGCCTTCTCATCTTCTGCCATTATTGGTCTGGCGTGACCATCGTTCAGATATTGATTAATAGAGTCTTTATACATCTGTGCTTGTTCAGGTTGTTTTCTTAGTCTTGCCTCAACATTTGCAAGTCGCTGAGCAAGTCCTCGAGTACTCGGTAAATTGGGATTTTCCTTCCAGGGCAGCGACACTTCGTACCTTTGCCAATCAAACTTCACATTGTCCTTGAATTGTTGAACAACGTAATTTTCATCGGCACTTTGACCTTTAGGATCTTCAGTCACACCGATTGATTCTAAGTCCCAAATTTCTTTAAAATGAGGTTGGGATCATCTTCAAGGATCTTGGTTGTGGCGTGGTGGGTCGACGCGCTGCAAGATTTAGACCGCTCGACACCGGTAGGACCTGAGAGGAGCCAACCAAAAACTGAATTCATGGCCATTGGACTCATGGAATCTCTTACCCTAATACTACCTTTCATGATTTGGGACCACTGATCTGCGCCAATTAGTATATCAATCGTCGCTCCACTTCGTGGATCCGTATCTGCCAGCGCTAAGCCATTTAGATGTGGATATTGCTTTAGATCAACGGCTGCGGGTAGGTAGGTAGGTAGGTAATACTTTATTTAAAATGAACAGAAAGAAGAACACGCTAGCCCCATCAACTCTAGGCTGGTTTCCCTGGGGGGCGTGTTTAGATCTTAAAAATCATTAAAAGAAAAATTTAAACTAAATATTAGTACACACATACTGTACACGTTACTATATACAAATAATTAGGAAGCATGTCGCTGTCCAACAATTGATTTAAACGAATGAGG